TCTCCCAGATAAGAAGATAGAAAGACTGGACACGGATGATCTGGATGAGATTGAGAAGATAGCCAACTGAGAAGCTCCCCGCTCCCTGCGCCGCCCTCGTCACCTCCAGGGGAGGAAGCCCAGTGCTCGCGCGGCCCTGGCCTCGATTACCACAGAGACGAAGGCACGAGGAAGAAGCTGCCTACCTCATTAAATTATGTTTGGACTTGACCAAAATATGTGGAAACGACAGTGGACAATCAGAGGACATTACATTTTGGAAAATATTTTCTCCACACCTTGGAAAGCCACAGTATGCCCTGCCCCTCCAGTAATCTGCTTTCTGTTGTTGATACTGGCTCCAGACCTCCCGCCTGCTCTCTGACTAGAGCGCTAGGACCAGCCTGCACCCCGGAGTGACAGGGCCGAGGTCTCCAGCAAGGCTGGCAGCCGGCACTGTGACGCCGTGAAGAGTTGGCCGCAGAGCCCCTGAGCCAGCCGCATCGCTGGACCTGTCAGGAGGGATTTTCCTGCCCTGGGCTTCTCCCAAAATCTAGAGATGCCCCAGCATCCCTTTTCCTCAAATGTCTAGAGCAGAAGCTCTCCGTCTTGCTCTCTCACAAGCACCTTGGGTACCATGGTGAACTTGCAACTCGGTGAGAAGAGCCCAGAGGCCGGAGCCCTCTGGCTCTGAGGGCTCGTCCAGGCCAGGGTGGGCGAGTCCATGTGCTCAGGGCCTGCCTTGCCCTCTTTCCCGTTGCTCCAGGTGGAGCCCAGGAGACTCGGGGACCTGGTGAAGCCCCGCCCGGCCCACTTCCGGGCTTCCTGCCATGGCGGAGCCAGGCAGCAGTCTGTGCGGGCTCCTAGGAGGCGCTTACCCACAGCGGTGGCCTTGATGGATTATGTAGTTCATACCTGATATGAGTAGGGACAGAAATTTAGCTATGTGCATCATTCAGTATAAGAAATTTTAAATGTAATTATGAGAAACACTTTACTAATCATGACTTATTTGTATTTTTCTGCTTATTAGACTAATTTATGCTCATTAAAAATATTGTGTGTATATATAACCTGAAAGTGCTCTCTGACCCCTTTCCAGGGTCACTTTTGCTACCAGCTTGCTGGACATTCTGTCATATTGCCCTTTGCATACAAGGAAAGTGCGACTTCTGGCCAGGTGAGGTGGTACACACCTGTAATCCAGAGTAAAGAGCAGGAGCAGGAAGATTGCAAATTCACGGCCAGCCTGGACAATGCAGACGTGTTTCAGTGACTGGCAAGGGCTGCGGATGCGGCTCAGTGGCAGAGCCCCTGCCCAGCAAGTGCCAGGCTCGGGCTTCAGTCCCCTCACTGGAGCAACAAACCGAGTGAGTGTGCGTTCCCGCGCTGGGCTGCCCCGGCGGGCATTTTGCAGTTCCCCCAGCAAGCGGCTTGGAACGGGGTACTGTGCTGTCACCCACAGCCACAGCGAAAGTGCCTGTCCTTGCTCCCAAGCACGGGTTAGAATCCGACAATAAATTCCTGCAAGTGAACTTGTTCATTCAAAGGGGGAAACATTTAAAATCCTGATACATTGCCAAGCAACTACACCAAAAAGTTGTCCACTCTGTAGTAGCATTTTATTTATTTTTTCTTAGATGTTTTCACTAGTTCCAGCTGGGACTGACCTCACTATGTAGCCCAGGCTACACTTGAACTCATAGTGAGGGATCCTCCTGCTCAGCCTCCCTAGTGCTGGGATTACAGGCAAGTACTACCACACCCAGCCAGGTTCCATTTTTTTAAAAAGTGACTTTTGTGTCATGACTAGAAAAGCTTTTAGTCCAGCACTCTAAGAAATGAAACTCTATTTCCTGCAGAGGCAATTCAAATTGTAAATTTTCTAAGTTCTTAGAGCTCTTACAGCGTTAGCAGGGCACGGTGGCGTGTGCCTGTGGTCTTAGCTACGTGGGAGGGGGCGGCAGAAGGATCACTGAGCCCAGGAGTTTGTGGCCAGCCTGGGCAACACGAGACCCTCATCTCAAAAACTACCATTGTGTGCAACTGGCTGTGAGAAAGTTTGGTTCCACGGAGGGGGAGCACATGGCAGCGCTGAGGGCTGGTGCGTGGGAGTGGGTGTGCGCGAGCTCTGGTGAAGCTGGGTCCCTGGGGGAGGGGTGTGCTGGAGGGTCATCCTCGGAGGCTACAGCAAGACCAGGGACAGAGCAGGCAGCGTGGCAGAGGGAGACGGCAGGCCGGACGATGGTGCAGGTTAAGGCCCTTCGGACTCAAAACTCAGGTGGTCCCTTCTGTGAACTAGCAAGCAGGTGTGGTGGGCACATGGTCACCCCGCGGGAAGCCAGCCGGGCTACAGAACGCCTCAGAGGATGCCAGGCGGAGCTGAAAGCTTGCTGGGCTCCTGGTGTGGGACCGTCACGCTGCTTCCCTGAGGGAGACCCAAGCGGCCCCTGCCTGCCTGCAGCAACCTACACACAGCTTGTCCTGAGCTGCAGCCGGAGACAGGCTGCACAGAGGCAGCATGGACCTCAACCTGTGCCAGGTGAGTGACACGGCGGCTGGGACCCACCCTGGCTTTGGGATACCCTCAAATCCTTACTGGACAGAAGCTACCAAGCCCAACGGAGCTGGCTGTAGGTAGCAGTCAGAAGGGACCGAGGAGACTTAGAGGAGCAGCTTCCGTGGGCAGAGAAAACTGGGAAGAAAACCTTGAACCTGAAGCTGGGCGTGGTGGTGCACGCCTGTAATCACAGCACTTGGGAGGCTGAGGCAGAAGGATGGTTTGGAGTTCGACACCAGCGTGGGCTACAAAATGAGCTCAAGGCCAGCCTGGACAGCATAGTGAGACCCTGTCTCAAAAAGACAAAAAAAAAAAAGTGAAGCTGAAAACCAAAGTCTCCCAAGCCATGAAGAGGCCTGATGCTAAGACAGACCCAAAGATGGGTGAAAACAAATCCACCCCAAGTCAGACTTCGTGGGTGGCTGGTACGGACTCAGCATGTTGAGATACTCAGCAAAAAAGTTGATTTTCCCTTTCACTGGGATTTCATGCACTCTACAGCCGAGCTACCCCCAGCCCCGCTTTACTCCCAATATGAAGGTTGAACCCCGGACCTTTGCACTAAGCTACATTCCCAACCCCTCCCTCCCCTTTTTAAAGATTTGGTCTCACCAGATTGCCCACGCTGGCTTGAACTTGTGGTTCTCCTGCCTCAGCCTCCCAAGTGCTGGGATTGCAGCCATGCGCCACCATGCCTGGCACATGTCACTTTTTTAAAAGAGCAAAGCAATTGTGACGTATATTAAGCAAAAGCAGTCCGTGTGCACATTTGTAAGAGCCAGCTGTGGATAGCTTAACACTGGCCAGGGTGGGAGTATTTACACCACAGGAATAAGCAAATATGTCAGAACAAGGTTTTGTTTTCAGTGAGGATACACATGGACAGACACAAAATTAGAAATTTTAGGGATCAAATAAAGAATAAATGGCAATCCTCGGGGTTTTTGTTCTGTTTGCAATGGTGGGACTTGAACCCAATGCCTCCACTACACTAGGCAAGTCCTCTACCCCTGAGCTCCACACCCAGAACTACACACCTAGAACTGCATGTGTAGCGCACACTGGCTTCAGGCTCATGGCGATCCTCCTGCTTCAGCCGATTGCAAGCATGCACCACCACACCAGTAATCCTACATGTCTCAATCCTAAATATGTCTGTGTAGCCCAGGCTGTCTTTGAACTGTGATCCTCTCGCCTCAGCCTCCTCGGTGCTGGGATGAAGGCACGTGTCACCACTCCCAACTTCATTATACTATTATGAAGAATAAGAACAATGCAGATTTCCTAGCAAGCCCCCGCCTGCATGCAGCTCAGGAGTGGGGCCAGCGAGACAACTCAGCGGCCATGGGGGAGCCGCCACGCACGCATGTGCAAGCCAGCCGTCCGAGGAGAAGCTAGAGGACTTTGCTCCCCTGGAGACTGGGGAGATTCGGGGAGCAGCGGGCGCGGGCTGCGCGCCGCCCACACCGTGGGGCTGACACCGCGGCAGCGTCCGGCGCGGGCGGCTGGAGGGGCCGCTGGAGAAGGCCCGGCACCTGGCGCGAGCGGAGGCTGCGGGGCGGGGCAGGCTGGGGCCGCCGGCTCTGGGAGAGCAGGTGGGGCGCGGCTCCGCGCAGGTCCGAGCTGCTTCTTGCTGCGGTTCGCGGGCCACCCCGCCTCGGCCGGTCCAGAGTCAGAGTCGGGGAGTAAAGAAGGTCGGAGAGGCTGGCGCGGGCCCCGAGGGCAGACGGGCTGGCCAGGGAGGCAGAGGGCGAGGAGCAAGGCGGCAGCGGAGAGCGAGAGTGGGAGACGGGGGCCGAGCTGCTGAGGATGTGCGCGGGCGCCAGGCCTCCAGAAGGGGGCGCCCCAGGCTCCCCGTGTCTTTCACACCCAGCCTGTCCTGTCTGAACTTTGCAATACCCAGCTGTTCTTTATTAAACTCTGTGAGTAAAAACGCAAATTCCTGTTGAGTGACGCAATAAATTTATTTCCTGCTCCCATAAAGGCTTTTGTTTGTTTGTGTTTGTCTGAGACAGGGTCTCACTATGTAGTTCAGGCTGGCCTTGAACTCACTGTGTAGCCCAGGCTGGTCTCCAACTTGCTGTAATCCTCCTGCCTCAGCTTCCTGGGTGCTGGGATTCCAATACCCTGGTTGCTCACATAAAGTCTAAAGTTGATGTTCCTCTTTGGGTGACTCTACTGGGTACTTTCTTCTTTGACTCCTTCCCTTTATTATTTGTGAGTGTTGTCATTATTCTCGTTTTAAAATTTTTAAACGTACTTTTTTTGTAAATAGGGTCTCACTATGCTGGGCACAGCTGCTTTTGAGCACAGGATTCTCCTGCCTCAGCCTCCCTAGCACTGGAATGAGGCACCAATACTGATATGTTGTTAATTCACTAAAATCCACACTTCATTCAAACCTGTTTTCCCCTACTTTCCTTTTTCTGCTACAGGGGTCTTGCTCTGTTGTCCAGGCTGGGCTATGCCTCTGCTTCAGCTTCCCAAAGTGCTGGGATTACAGATCCTCACAACACCCTGGTTGAACACACAAGATACTGGTATTCCATTTTGTTTTCCTTGCAGAAAAGGAACCAAACTCAAAAGCTAGGTGTGTGGGTGCACGCCTGTTATCCCAGCACTCAGCAGGCCGAGGCAGGAGGTTCCCACGTTTTTTTTTTTAACCCCGTTTCATGTGGTACATAATGATCACATTCATCATAGGAAATTTGTACTTGGACATGATATATCTTGATGGGCTCTGACCATCCCAGCATCCCATTAACTAAAATATATGTAGTTTGTGTTTTATTGTGGTCATACCCCTAAGCAGGAGGTTCAGTCCTAGGCCAGGGCTGATCCCCAAACAAGGTGTCTCTCCAGAAGTGCTCATCAGAGAAACTGAGGCATGGCCGCCGGCACTTGTGTGGCTTCAAGGAAGTGAGTCTCCGGACAGAGCCATAAGAGTCAGTGTGTATCACCAAGTTCCCTCTGCCCTGCCCAAGGTGAGAACGCCCAGAAAGCCACGCTAGATGGCACCACAGGATGCCCGGGGCCCTGGTGACAGGGAGTGGCCTGCACCTGCCAGCAGATGGACATGGCTTTGGCAGCTGGCAAAGCTGGCAGCTCTGTTGTTTCCAAGCCGCTGGAGCTTGAGGGGGGTTTGGTACAGCAACATAACCTAAGATCTCCGGCACCCGCTCCCTGGGGACGACGGATTCTTGCTCAGCTACCGTGAGGCCAAGCTTGATAGTACACAGGCCCCATCTGCACCACCAAAGAACAAAACCCTGTGGCATACAAAACTCCCACGCAGCTTCTTCACTTAATCCATTATTTCAAGAGACAAGACATCTGAGTGTAGTGGTGCATGTCTATAGTCCCACTACTCAGGAGGCTGGGGCAGGAGAGCATCATTGCAAATTCAAGGCCAGCCTGGGTTACATAGTGAGTTCAGGGGCAACCTAGAGAGAACAGTCCACCTCCTCCAGATTTAAAACCTCCATCATGAGCGCTGGGTGTGGCGGCGCACACCTGTTATCCCAGCACTCCGGAGGCTGAGGCTGGAGGACCATTCCAAGTTCAGACCAGCCAGGATTACAAAGTGAGCTCAAGGCCAGCCTGAACTGCATAGGGAGACCCTGTCTCAAAAAGACAAAACAATAATAGTAATAATAATAATAATAATTAATAAATAAATAAATAAAATCTCCACCATGATAGAGGGCTTTACCAAGCAGGGGATATGGTATTGCATGCCTCTGATCCCAGCTACTGTGAAGGCCAAACCAGGAGGGAGGCAGAGGCAAGAGGATCGATCACAAGTTTTAGGTCAGCCTGGATGGGCAACTTAGCAAAACCTTATTTCAAAATAAAAGCACTTGGAGATGTAGCTCAGTGGCAGTGTTCTGAGTTTAGTTCTCAGCCTCCGGCAGGGGGAACCCATCTGTGGAGACCCGGAATTCACTAAAGAGAAAAAGGTGTCTGGTAAGTAGGAGATGAAGTACCGTATCCCAGTTCCCAAAACCCAACTCACAGGGTCAGGCAGAATGGGAATAAACTAAACACCTGGACACCTAAAAGAGGATGAAAAACCTCCTACCCTCATAGGGGCCGGGCATGGTAATACATCCCTGTAATCCCAGCACTCAGGGGCCTGATGCAGGGTGAGTGCTCCGAGTTTGAGAACAGCCTGGGCTACATATTAGGTTCGACATCAAAAACACAACAAAACCCAGTAAGGAGAAACAGCATAAAAAATTCAACCTAAAAACCAACTACAAAGTAGGCATGGTGGTACAGGTGTGTAATCCCAGCACTCTGGAGGCTGAGGTAGGACGATCACTGAGTTCAGGGGCAGCCCGGGATATATATATATGTATATATGCAACTACTTTTAGGGGTTTTTTAAACATTCAGTTCTATGATTTATTTGGCATTTACTTTGGTGAATGATTTCTAAATTCACTTTTTTTTTTTTTTTTTTTTTGGTACCAGGAATCGAACTTGGGACCTTGCGCTTGCCAGGTAGGCGCTTGTGCGGCTGAGCTATATCCCCGGCCCAATTCACTTTTTTTTTGAAACAGTGTCTCACTGACCCACTCTGTTGGCTGGGCTGGAACCTGCAATACTCCTGTCTCGGCCTCCTAGAATGCTGGGATTACAGGCGTGTGCAACCATACCTTTCCAATCAGTTGATTGTTAATCAAAACCCTCAGTCCCTTCAGTTTAGTGTGCTGACTTCAGACTGCTTCCACGAAGCCAGGCTCACGTTTAAGGGGCAAGTGTCCGTGGAGTTGTGTGCGTCGTTATCCCAACACTCCCGCCCCTCCCTCACCCCAGCACCTTGGAGTCGCTGATACACCGCACACATTTCAGAACAAATGATTCCAGGTTTTCGTGTGTTCTTTTTTTTAATTCAGAAAGAGAAAGGAAAGGAAATAAAAAATGTGTAACTATTGCAGAAAAGGTGACCTGGGCTGAGTGCTGGGACCTACGTCTTCCAGAATGGGGATTAACGGTTTAAACCAAAGAAAAAGGAACAAAAAAGAAATAAATTATTCTGCTCAATACTGTTTGGCATAATTGCATTGTGTATCATCTCCTCAACGCTCCGAAGAGCCCCTTGCGGAAGCACTGCGGTGAGACTGGCCAGAGCGGCCGGCGGGGACCTGAGAAACGACCTGCGCGGGACGCGCGCCGCCGGGCCGC